GGAGTGGGGCCATTGTATTACAGATGGAGTCTTGTCCACTTGGCACTAAATAAACTTCAATTCTGTAACCGATAATCTTTAATGCGGTGTTTATGCAACACTTTACCTGCTTTTCTTTAAAAAAATAATTACCTATCTTCAACTATGTCTAAAAAATACGTTTGGGGTACCTTTTTGTTTTTATTATAGCCAAAGAAAAAATAATTCAGATTCATAAAAAGGGGCAAAAGGCAGATTCAGTTAGATATTTTGTAATTTTTTCATTGGTGCAGTGTATTTATTGCACAAAAATATCTTTTAATAAAAAGAGAAGATATTATCAAATGTCCAAATCTAAACTCTTACATCAGTTATCTTTTTAATAGTTCATGAAATTTACTCTTTGTGTTTAAAAATATTTCAAAAAGGTAAAATTTTGAAGTTTTAATTTATTTTATTAGTTGACAATGAGTAAAATTAATTAATCTAATTATTCAAAATTACTAATCCCAAAATAATATATCTATAATCTTTTAATATGTATGAAAAGATGAAAAATCTATTAGTTTAAGTAAAAATATATCACGTAGCTCCACACACCGAGTCCATGCCGATGAGTTCTTTGACCCCACAAAGATTTATTTCATTCAATTATTCACATTATGTATTTTTCCCAAGAATCTTTCAATTATTTCTCCACCTCAAGTTTCAGAAAAGGAATAATATAAAATTGAAAATCCTATCTTTCTTTCTATCCTAAACAACAATTAATTGTGGATTTCAATTTAATCATATAATCAAGAATTAGCTTGGACGTGGGATTTGAATTTGTCTTTCTTTTCTAGAAGAAAAAGAAATTAAATTGTCAAAGAGTGACTCACATCAAACCAAGAAACTTATAAAATCCATTATAAATAATAAAGAGTGTATATATATAAGATTAAAAAAATCAAAATCATGGAATCTATCAAAGTCCATATCTCAAAATCAGATCATCTCTCTCCCCAAAAGCCAAACTCCATACCTTTCTTCTTCATTGCTTCATCTTCTTCCTCATGACTACATCAGTTTCAATGAACCCATCTCTCTTTCGTGTAATCTGTATACTCCATTCCGTCATCGCTCTAACAAGTGGAACCCTAATGATGTTCTACACAGAGAAAGCTTCAATCTTCGGACCAGGAAGTGAGATCGCTAGCAAACTCAAAGGATCAACCCCACACGATGAGCTACTCATTCAGATTTCTCAGTCTTTCTCCGGTTTGCATCTCTTTGCCATTGGTTTTGTACTGTTCATGGTGTCTTTCGTTAAAGACAGAGAGTTTCACAGCTTCTTCGCTGGAGGGTCTGTGATTCTCTACGTGTTGATGGCTTCTTGGAGGGTTTTGTTTGAGTGGAAGATTGAAGATCTTGCTTATGAATGGCCTAAGCAAGCCCTTGGAGATATAGCTTTAGGGATCTCTTGGGTTTTCTTTCTTGTTTATTCATGGAGAGAAAAGTATGATTGATTAATTGATGTTTTTGATTCTTGTTGTAACTTGTGGGCTAAGCAAAAGCGTTTCAATCCTCAGATTTGGTGAGATGAAACTGAAAGCATCTGTCGGAATTCAGACACGATCAGATCAGATCAAACAATAAATAGTTTGGATTCACATCTTAACAGAAGATTAACGATTTTATACGTTTTGTTGTTTAATTATATCTATGTAGATCCTCTATATTTTGCTGAATCAATCTAAACTCATTGTGAAAGGAGAATCTGAGATTCTGATTTTTGATTAATTAATTATGAAAAAGTTAAAAGTTACATTCTCTTATTATCCTCTTGTCAATTTGTGAAAAACGTAAATATATGGTTATGGGTCCGGTGTAGCTTATTTCCGGCCCACTAATAATGTAACTGGATTTTACAGGATTATATGATCTGGTCTTGGAATTAGAGGGAGCTTTATATTTATCGATGTTGAATTAAAACTTTAGTTTCTTTTTCTCTGTAGCTATAAATATTTTGGTGTATTTTTGTAGCTGTATATTTATATATACTATTATTTGAAAAGAGCTGAGATATTATACTCTTTATGATTTTAGGTAATTTTGCTTATATGACATATTCTTAATAATTTTGAGTAATAAATTGGTCATTTAAATTTTTATTTATACTCTTATTTGAAACTTTATTAAATAAGTAGATCTAGTGATATAGTTCTAAATATTTTACATGATTCAATCTTCAATATAACAGAATATTTTCAAACTTACTAGTTCCTTATTTTTTATTTCAAACTTACTACTTTCTTATATTTTTATTTCAAACTTATTATTTTCTGAATTTAATATAAATACTATATATATATATATCATAATTCATATATTGTAATTTTTCTTGTTAATTTTATCTTTTTTTACATTTGAGATACATATATTAAAATAATTATGATAATATAATAAATTTAATGTTATTCTTCAATTATCAATCTTCAATGATTCTTTATCCATTTGTATTAATAAATTTAATTTTTAAATTATTATCAATTTTAAATATATACCAAATTTGCTTAAATATTAATTAATATTATTTTACGATATCACAGAAGTCATCTAGTTAGAAAATATATTTAGTGACTTATATGAGATTCTAAAATCAAATATAAATGCTTTAGAATTTACTTTCCACAGCCGAAAAGAAAAAAATAATGTAGCTGTACCTTTTTTTTTATATAAATTATGATTTGAAAAAGTATCTTACAAGATTTTTGCTTCAGAAATAAATTTGTTGTGGAAAATTTGTAAACCACTTCTGAAACACTAGTCAATTAAAATCCTTTGTGTTCATTTTTTTTAACGTCTGATAATTATGCTATAACAATGCTGAAAAATATTAACATAGACAATTCTATAGCTGATAATTCTACCACCATATAAAAATACACATAGCCGATAATTTTACCATCATATGAGAATATATATCTGACTGTGTCACTCTAAATCGTCCTATGAAATATCTGACTGTGTCACTCTAAATGGTCCTATGAAATTTATGTCCGATGATATCGTCCTATAAAATCTATGTTCAATGATACGTTATGCATAATATTGAAGACCTCTTATAATTTGAACCCTAGACCTTCTCGTATAGAAGAATTAGTGAATCTTAGTCAAACCGTTAGACAAAGGGGGGCTTCCACATTGATTTTTTCTTTGATTTGATTGTGTATAAAGTTAGTATACTTATGTTGATAACACTTGTAAAGCTTGTTATCTTTTGTGGAAAAGAAAACAATATGGGCTTTTATAGCCAATTCAGGGCCCATTTACTATTAACTCTCAAGACTGTTCTTCTGGTAAAGCTTCTTATTACAGTTCTCATTTCTTCCTCTCCCCAGAAGATTCTCAGTTTTCTCCGCTTCTCGACTCTTCCTCCTTCCGACCAAAGGTTAGTTCTTTCTTTAATCTTCGAAGCTTCTTGTATTGATCCGTTTTATTTCTCCAGTTTTAACATCATATTCATATGATTGTGCGATTGAATTTTAGAAACAGCTTATTTTTATTCTCCCGAGGATTGTTTGTTTGCCTGCTTGCTCGTTCGATCGGATTAGAGTTTCGTTAAAATTGTCTGAATTTGTATTTATATGGGTAATGAGATTTCGTGATTTGAGGCTCAGGGTTTTAAGTTCCGACCAAAATGTCTTTTCTAGGGTTTTGTCTGAATTGATTTATCGATGCTATGATTTACTGAATCTACCAATCATCCATGAAGATACATGTTACTAACACAGACGTTGAGTTCTATCCCCATTTGCTATCGACCCTTATCATGCTTAGTTGCTTGAACCAAGTTAATTAACTTTTGATATTGCATTGTTGATATTAACATTTTCAGAGAATATTGAATTTAACTTAGAAGACCATTTCAATTGGTTTGTGTGAGGTTTTAACCAGTAACAAAAATATGAATATGAGGCATATCATTGCTCTTTTGTTACTCTTAGAAGGGCATTCAGATGTTTAATTTTTGGTGTGTATATTCATCTACTAAGCTTAACCTATGTTACCTTATTGTCATGTTTCATTTGCTCTTTGTTTATTGTTGAAGTGGTTTTTGGTGTTTCATGGCGTTAACATTGTGAGAATGTGATTTGTAGGATGAGTGGTTTACAAGCACAAGACAGTGTGTGTTCCTTGAGCCAGCCAAGCAAAGATGTGGGTGTGGCTGTGACCGAGACAAAGCCTAAGAAGAGGATATGTTGTGCTTGTCCAGATACTAAGAAGCTAAGAGATGAGTGCATTGTAGAAAACGGTGAATCTGCTTGCACCAAGTGGATCGAAGCTCATCTTATGTGTCTTCGCTCAGAGGGTTTCAAAGTTTGAGAAATGTTTAAAATCATGGAGTGAATTCCAAAGGAAATGATTAGTGACAATAGATTGTTGATTTTGTTTTTTTTTTCTGAATTTTACACAACACAACAAGTCATTCATGTACTAATAACAGAGCAAACAGAAAGGGGTTACATTGGTTAATATCAAATCAAAACTCTAATTTATTTTGTGTGGCCAAGATCAAATCAGAACTATATATGTACTCGCATAACACATAACAGTGATTATACATCAACTTTTTTGTATTTTTGTAAACCTTCTTGGTCAAAGTCCAACTTGTTTATTTATTTATTACTTTAAAAAGGTAATAATTGTTTATATTTATTGGTGTAATCTTGGTCAAGATTATCTTATCTTCCCTTTGATTAGCTTATGAAGGATTGCTCTGTGAATATCCACGATTAATAAAAAAAAAGAATGGTAAAAACCGTAAGTTCATATCCAACGGCTGTAAACTCATGGCTCTCGTTAGCCACGTCAGCAAAATATGGAAATAACTGTTCAGTTTGAGTGGGGTCCAGACGCAGAGACCATATGTTCAAGTCATTATTGTCTTAAAAACATTTAAAACCCAAAAATGGACATTCATAGTTAAAGAAAGTAATAAAGACATTAACAAGGAATTGGACTCTCGTTTGTTATATAAAAAGGAGTATTCAAAGGGATTGAGAAAATCTTCAGTGTATAATTATTTTTAACAAAAAAATTAATATGGAGCCCGACGTGGTGGAGATCGCTCCTCCGCTGTTCCCTTCGGGTTCGAGAACTCGTAAACCCAGAAAGGTTCGATCTTTTTATCCTCTTTTTCAGTTAATCATCGACAATTATGTGATCTATCTGTTTGACTGTGCTCAATTTTACTGATTTACCTCGAAAAAGTGAACTTTTGTCCTTTTAGGGCTTCCTTGTAGCGTGATGATCATCTGGTTTATCTCAGTGTTTTAGGGTTTATGTGGATTTTGATTGTGTTCTTACAGTCCTTTTTGAAACAGATTGTGTTGTTACAGTTTCCTGACTTGCAATAGATTGTGTCCTTTATAGTTTCACATGTTTCTCTGTTTTGATTCATGGGGTTTTCGTTAATATTTAGTTATGTGTTCTTTGTCACGTTTGCTATACTTTTGATGAATCATATCTGTAGTTAATGACTGTCTTCTTACAGTTCCTGAGTTAATATAGATTTTGTTCTTACAGTTTCACATGTTTATCTGTTTTAATTCATGGGTTTTGGTTAATGTTTACTTTTGATGAATCATATTCATAGTATTGACTCTTTACAGCTTCTTGAGATGAAATAGATTGTCTCCTTACATTTACAAGTGTTTCTCTGTTTTGATTTGTTTATCAAGTCTTAAGTTGATTGTAAAGTTTGGGGTCTTTTTGATCTTGTTGTAGGCTGTGATTCCTGAAGTGATCGATGTCGAGCAATATGAATTTCGCAATGGCGGTGACAACAATAGTCTTGTTGATGTGAAGAACAAAGGGAAGGCTATTATACAAGACTGGTCCTTTTATGATCATAACCTGTTTAATCCTGTTGACAATGGAACGCTGCCTGTGGATATTGATGACTACTCCATGTTTCAAGCTGTTCTAAACTCTCAGGACTTCCCAACTGATGCAGAAGTGTTCATGTCTACTACTCAACCTTGGGGGTTTCCAAAATCGAGTAAAAGCAGCTCGACGGAAGCTGTTTGGAACACATCTATGGAAACTCCTCAGTCATGGGATTTCTTCTCTGGTTTGGCTTTCCCTCAGACCAATCAAACTAGCTACTCATCCACAAAGGTTCTACCTCAGGCTCCTGAGATAGTGATGATGCCAGCTCCTTCTTCGAGACCTTTTAAACTTGATGGTTCTTCTAAGACTGTAGCGGCTGAGGTTATTCCTTCAGCTCAGGCTAACTTTCTAAAGAGCTTCAAAAGGTTTGACACTGTTGATGACTTCTCAGATCATTACTATACTTCTAAGGGGAAAGCTACAAAGCAGGTGATGATTAATACTTTATAAACTCAGGTGTTGTTTCCTTTGGTATTCATGATACCTCTCTTTTATCTTATCAGCACTCAAAGAATTGGGTGAAGAAGGTTCAAGCAGATTGGCAGATTCTTGAGAATGATTTGCCAGGTTGGTCTATATACTAATGCAGATCAATGCTTGCTACATTTTTTTTTTAATCTCACTCGTTGTTTTGGCAAACAGAGACTATATTTGTCAGAGCTTGTGAAGCAAGAATGGATCTATTGAGAGCTGTAATCATTGGAGCTGAGGGAACTCCTTACCATGACGGTCTTTTCTTTTTCGATATTCAGTTCCCTGATAGCTATCCTTCAGCTCCACCAGTATGTTCTCAACATGTGTTACTGTTATTGTTTTTTTTGGAACCATTGATGATGACTTTGGAAGTTTTTTATTGTGTTGTTGACAGAGAGTTCATTACCATTCTGGTGGGCTTAGAATAAACCCGAATCTATACAACTGTGGTAAAGTATGTTTGAGTCTTCTAGGTACCTGGACTGGTAACTCTAGGGAGAAATGGCTCCCAAAGGAGTCCACTATGTTACAGCTTCTTGTCTCAATCCAAGCACTTATCTTGAATCAAAAACCATACTTCAATGAACCGGGCTACGAGGCGACCATGGGGACTCCATCAGGGGAGACTCATTCCAAAGCTTACAGTGAGAACGTATTCATTTTGTCGTTAAGGACCATGGTTTACAGCATGAGAAACCCACCCAAGGTATATAATTAATCAGCTTGATAGTTTAATATGCTAGTTGAATGAATAATCTCAAGATTTAAGGTTTAAGTGACGAATGTGCAGCACTTTGAAGAGTTTGTTCGTAGCCATTACTTTGTGAGGGCACTTGACATAGTGAAAGCGTGCAATGCTTATAAAGACGGAGCTCCTGTTGCTTCTATAGTGAAAGGTGGTGTACAAGACATTGAAGAAACTAGTGAGAGCGGTTCCAAGAAGTTTAGGACCGATGTGGCTGCCTTTATGAAGACAGTTGTGGATGAACTCGTTAAGTTGGGAGTGAAGGAGCTTGAAGAAAAGCCGAAACCACTTCCTGAGATTTATGCTAACGCAGAGAGTAGTAAAACAACCCGTAAGAGAAGCAGATCAGCTAGGTGAACTAAGTCTTAAGTCCACCATTTTGTTTCTCATGTTCTTAATAATCTGGAAGTAGAGGGAAATAGGAAAAGTTCTTTTTGTTGTTTTCCCCAAATTTGTGATAATTTATATTATGATGAATATTCTTGAGAAATAGGCAATGTGCGTTTTTAACTCCAACCGAACTGAACCAATGGAACCGAAATCAAAATAAATTTTTATATATTTGAACTCTAAAAGAATTTCCTATATCTTATATTAACAAAACAGAAATCACAACATTTTTCATGTGCATTTTTTAAAAATGGTTCTATTCCTAAATATTCATGTGTAATTCTCTTATCATTCATTTTCTTATAAATATCATATTAAGTTTCACAGTGCCAACAACTTTTAGATAAATTATAAATGTCTATGTTTTAAGAACATAATTAAACCTATCTATATTACATAAATTGTGATTTCTATATTGTCAACACATACATCGTGTATGACTTCAATTCGTGTTATCCTACAGGTTTAGTACTACATAAATTGTGCTGTATTTTACTTATAAAACATTTAGGGACATATAGGATGGTATGAGTCATGTGGGCATAAACGACCATGCTATCTACGTTACTAATACTAGTGTTTAATTTTTACTTAGCTTGCTCGTGTCATGTGTTAGTCCTTTTAGTGGAGATTGTTTTAATATGCATAAGTCAATAGTATTCTTTTTGTAAATTTTTATTACCGTGTGAATATAGTTTCCAAACTTAAACAGTATTTCGCCCACATTCCGAAAAGCGTTGAAAATTTATTAAACAAAAATTTTCAGGGTCTAAATATTAACATAGGAAACGAAAGGAAATAACCAATTCCTACTTATTCCTTAAAAAATACATCATTCATAAAGAATATTTTCTGCGTATGATTTCTTGTCATTCCTTGAATCTCTATAATATTATTTGAGAAGTCAGTTTCCTACGTGTCGCGCTCACGTTAACTCTCACGATGGTTGATTATATAGATACCCTTAATGATTTGTTAGATTTTAAGATTATTATTTTTTATTTAGTTTTTTTTACCTTTTTTCCAAATAACATATACAATAAAAAAGAAATATTTCTAAATTTTTTTTAAAAAAATTAAAAACGAAAAATATATTTATATAATATGACTTTATTAAAACGGAAAGTTCACAAAATAGCAATACCCCATTAATATATATTTTAAAATAACATAAAATATATTTTCAAAATAATAAAAATATATATGTTCATGAACATCCAAAAACTTATCAGTTACACTTTATTTTCTAATATTTTTTTTGAAATCAAAATATAATTTGATAAATATTATGAAAATACATGTATATTTAAGCGATAATAAAACTAATTTGATTTGACTTAACTAAAATAAATAGTAAATAAATATTATGAAAATACATGTATATTTAAGCGATAAATAAAACTAATTTGATTTGACTTAACTAAAATAAAAAGTAATTATTCTTCAATTTTAGTTTACAAATATATTATATTCAATATACTCACAAAATGAATTACTCGGCTAATCTAATTTATATTCAAAATTAATCAACTAACTACAATAAGAACATATAATTTTATAATAATAATAATAATAATATTAATAATCTATTTAGTTTTATACATATAAATTAGAGGTTGACCCAAAGCATACTAAAAAGAAAAAGAAAATATTAACCAATTACAATTTAATTCTTTTTAGAATTTATATATATATGCATGCGACTTCAAAATATTATCATTATATTCATTTATGTAATTTTGAATTAAAACACTTCAGCTTATTATTTATTTCATTTTAAGCACAATATATATATATATATTAAGTTATACATAATTTAACTATAATATATTTACATATCTAAGAATATATTTACATATATAAAGACAAGAACCATCTGAAATGAAAATAAGAAAATTAATCAAAATTTTATTATATTTAGAATAAAAAATATTATAGCTGAATTCAAAAAAAAAAAATTATCTAATATACCAAATTGATAACCAAACCGATTATTGATAAAAAAATAATTAAACCGGTAATAATATATCCAAAGTCATATGTATAATTAGAATAATATAATATTTATTAATATAAATTATACATATAAATTGATTAAAAACTTAAACTAAATACCAATCAATTATTTATTTCATTTAAGCACAATATATATTAAGTTATACACAATTTAACTATCATATATTTACATATCTAAGAATATAGTTACATATCTAAGAATAACCAACCGAAATGAAAATAAAGAAATTAATCAAAGTTTTATTATATTTAGAATAAAAGATATTATAGCTGAATTTGAAAAATAGATATTATCCAATATACCAAATTGATAACCAAACCAACTATTGATCCGAAAAATAATTACACCGACAATAATATATCCAAAGTTATATGTATAATTAGAATAATATAATACATATTAATATAAATTATACCTATTAATTGATTCAAAACTAAATACCAATCAATTATTATAAAATTTTACATTTAGGAATATTCATATCCGTGCATGAGCACGGGAAAATCACCTAGTTCTAAGTAATTATAGAACAAAAACAATCCTTATCAAAATTGATATGGAACCAAAATAATAAATATTTTTTTTCGTTCCTTTTATTTTGTTCCTATTTATTATTTTCCTACTCATTCATATTCCTATTTTAATGGTCACCAATTAGAGCCAGTCTTTATTACCACTTTTAGTTAACTATTCGGTTAGTATCACAAAAATATTTATAAGAAAAGAAAAAAAATATCAAAGAAATCTTTTACCGTAGTTAGAAACTAAAGATATATTCTTTTACCCTAAAAAATAGATTTGGTATCTTCTTGGAAAGCAAACTGAATATTATAACATAATCATAAAATATCTTTCAAATATTTTGAATTCGGTAAAAAAAATAAACTCACTTTTTAAACGTTCGTAACATAATAAACACCCAATATTTTCGTGATTGCAACCATTTCTTAGGAAACTTATCATATATCACAACTAAAACCATTTCATATCTTCCATTTAACTAACCAAATCACGATCACAGATCAACAATCTACATGTCAAGATTGTTATATCAATATATATTGTTCTTTTTATTCTTAATTCCCTAATTATCACTATTCTTTTATCTATAAATAATAGCATAAGTTTAATTAAACTCTCCACCATCAATTGATAACACTATTTGAGAAGACTAATTAGTATAAAGTAAATGGGAGGTAAGTTCTATCAACTGAAAAAATTATAGATAACTTTTCTTTTCAATGTAAGATATTGTACATATTGTAAATCATAAAACTCAGATTGGACTCATTTCTTAAGTAAATGAACTCATTTTGATCTCTATGGATCAGCTAATCAAACTAAAAACTTATTAAATCTGGTCCAGTATGACTTAAATAGATAAACCTTTTTATTTTAACACCCTTATATTTACAATATGTTTTAAATATAGCCCAATAGTATTTTATCTTTTATGATTTCTGATTTTAATTAATCAAATATTACAAGTGTTATAACTAAATAGGATATAAATAAATTATAATCTATATAAATGAAAAACATTACAAATCCAAAACTATGAAAACATTTTTTTTATTAGCATAAATGTATTTATACACAAAACTTATATAGTAAAAAAAAAAGTCATGACTTCTTTCATATGTGATTTTTTTTTTAAATGGACCATCTCTAGAAAATTTTACTAAATGTATTGTGTTTGTAATAGTTTTATAAAACATTTAAATATATGACTGACGTCACTAATAATGTAAAATAAATATTTATGTATCTATTATATTAAAACAAAATTCGTACGGTTGCACGAGTTAAAATCTAGTTTGAAATTTAAAAGAATTCAATATGAAATGGATATCCGAAACCCGAAATATAATTTAGATATTTTATATTAGCTATATTTAATTTTGAAGTGAGCATGTATCTAAAAATAAAATTTATAAACTGCATATTTGTATTTGTAAATTTCTAAAATAATTTTAAAGTAGAATTACATTATACTTTTAAAAAAAAATAAACTATAGAAATATTTTTAACCCAAAAACTTAAAATCATACGAATGACCTAATATTTTTATCTAAATAATCCATTCTTTATCCAAAATTTGCAATTATCCGATATTTTTATTTGAATTATCTATTTTCTTTCTGAAAACGCTTAACCGAACCTGCAACTTATTGTTTGTATGTAAAAGTTAATATACAAATTATTATATATAGAACCATCATGATTTTTGTTTTTATTTGGATACTTATCTTTTTTTTTTTTTTTTTTTTGTCATCCGCCCATCTAAGCTAGATCAAGTGGTGATCAGACGAGTCGATCCTCCTGAGAGCATCTCCGTCTGCCCTGGTCTGATCTATATGGGAAAAAGTGTATCCCCTCCTTCTTGCCTCTTTTGCAAGACCGTCTGCTCTACCATTTCTGGATCGAGGAATATGAGTAAGCCTCATATCCTCAAAGTCCTCCTGCAAAATCTTAAGCCGCTCGATTTCTGTTGCGAAGGAAGGCCATTCCTCCGGATTAATAGACATGTCTATTAGGTCCGTACAGTCCGTCTCTATCTTCACCGAGGTAATCCGTAAATCTCTCAGGCACGAAACTGCCCAGAGAAGCCCTTCCATCTCTGCATGCAGGGCAGAAAGACTCCTCCTACACGCCCGTTGACCGATCCGTTCATAGCCCATGTAATCCTTCAATATCCACCCTATTCCACTGACACTGCCATGGTCAATCCATGATGCATCAATTTGACATGTCGGGATTTGGGTGTTTCCAAAGGATACCGTCTCAAGCTCCAAAAAGGGGGGTAACGCACGAGCCTCGTCGTCTACATCACTCATGTTCGCCTTTTTCCAACATTCCGCCTCAAGAGACGCATGTTGGAGGATATCCAATGGGGATACGACTTTCCCATTAAAGAGTTTGTCGTTCCTCGCCTTCCAGATGTACCAACAGATCCATGGGAAGGTGTCGAATTGTGGTCTCTGAGGAGCCACCTCTTTTCTCTTCCAAAAAAGGAAGTCCATATTTTGGTAAATAGATGTACTCGGGAAGACACCCGGAGTGGACGGATAGTCCGATAAAGCCCACACCTGCAGAGCAGGGGGGCACTCAAAGATAAGGTGATTAATTGACTCCACTGGGTCAGCGCATCTAGGACAACTCCTATCGGTGCCCAGGTGTCTGTAGGCGAGTCTCTCTGCTGTCGCCACACAGCCTGAGATAATTTGCCACAAAAAATGCTTCATCTTGTTTGGAGCCTCAATCCTCCACACCTGGCTTTGGAGACCTGTGATACTTGGTTGGAGAACCAGGTCATGTGTTGGTCCTTTCTTGTTAGACTGAAGAAGATCGTAACCAGTTTTAACGGAATATACCCCCGTCTTTGTATGATCCCAAACATATCCATCCGGAGCGGAGGAGCGTGAGGGTTTCAACCCAAGAATAAGAGGTATGTCTTCTGGCTGGAAGTAGTCTCGTAGCCTTTGAATATCCCACTCCTTGGTGTCATTCCTAATGAGGGCTTGAACCGGAAGACTGGGGAGTCTATAAACAATATGGTTAGCAGGCCTTGGTGGTCGGGCAACAATATCGGGGATCCAGGGCTCCGACCATACCCTCGTATTCTGTCCTGAGCCAATCCTCTTCCGAAGTCCTGAAAGAAGTAGCGGTCTTGCTGCCATAATACTACGCCATCCATATGAAGGTGAGTATATGCGTCTGTCATCTAGCGGAGAGGTATTGTTGTAATACCTCCCTTTTAGGACCCGTGCCAGTAAGGAGTCCGGATAATGTATCAATCGCCATAATTGTTTCGCAAGAAGTGCTATATTGAAATCATGGAGATCCCGAAATCCTAGCCCCCCTAAATCTTTAGGAAGACAGATTTCGTCCCATGATATCCAATGCAAGCCTCTGCTGTTCTGTTTCGAACTCCACCAGAAATTCGAATTCGTACTCCGTAATTTATCAGTGATGCCTTGAGGGATCAAATAGCATGACATTGGATATGTCGGAATTGCTTGGGCCACCGCTTTAATCTGAACCTCTTTTCCCCCTTTGGACAGTAAGCGCGAAGACCAATTATTAACTCGTCCATTCAATCGATCTTGTACGTAAGAGAATACTTTTGTTTTTGAACCCCAAATCTGCTCTGGAAGTCCTAGGTACAGACCCCTGCCTCCTTCAGTCGAAAAACCCAGCACCTCTTTTATCTCTTGTTTCCGAGTATATTCTACATGGTTTCCGAAGAACATTGATGATTTTGCCGCGTTTAGTCTCTGTCCCGATGCTTTCCCATAAATGTCAATAATGTCTATGATCTCCTTGCATTGGCTAGATTCCGCCTTACAAAAGAAAAGACTATCATCCGCAAATAAGAGATGTGAGACCCTTGGGCTTGCTTGTGCCACCCTAAGACCTAAGATCTTCCCTTCCGCTTCCGCTCCTTTGAGAAGCGAGATCAATGCTTCCGTGCACAAGATAAATAGGAAGGGGGACAGGGGGTCTCCTTGTCTTAAACCCCTCCTTGGAAGGATCCGGCCTCGCGGTTGTCCGTTGACTAGAACTTGATATGAGACTGACGTGACGCAGCACATAATGAGGTCAACCAGTCTTTCATCGAAGCCCATCTTAACCATCAGAGTAGCCAGAAAGCTCCACTCAACTCTATCATAGGCTTTGCTCATATCAGTCTTGATAGCCATAAAGTCTTCCCGACATCTTTGATTTGTCCGTAGGGCGTGGAAGTTCTCTTGTGCAATCATAATATTGTCGGTGATCAGGCGTTTTGCCACAAAGGCTGATTGTGTATCCGAGATCAGACGCGGAATTAGCCTCTTAAGTCTTTTGCATAGTAGCTTAGAAATAATCTTATAGCTAACATTGCAGAGACTAATTGGTCTAAATTCTGACATCTCCCGGGGTTTCTTCTTCTTCGGGATAAGGCATATATTAGTCTGGTTCAAGAGTGGATCGAAGCTGCCTGTTTCAAAAAAATCTTGTACGAGTTTGATGATATCTGTCCGCATCTCACTCCAAAATTTTTGGAAAAGCTTGCTAGTCATGCCATCCGGTCCTGGGGCTTTGTCTGGGTTTATATCGAAGAGGGCTCGTCGAATCTCCTGTTCCGACGGTACTTCTAGAAGTAACCTATTGTCGGCCAGAGATACTTTTTGTGTGATAAACCGAAGGGAGGTGTCAACTTCTGTCGGGGAGGATGTAGAGAAGAGATCTCGAAAGTATTGAATAGCCACATTCTCTACCTCAATTTCACTCTCTACAAGTTTCCCGTGTTTATCCTTGATGCTTATAATCCTGTTGTGTGATCTGCGTTGTTTCGTGGTGGCATGGTGGAACTTAGTATTCCTATCTCCATGCTTATGCCATTGGTCCCTGCTTTTTTGTTCCCAGAACGTATTCTCCTCCTTGAAAGCCAGGATCAGCTGCCTCCTTAAGTCTTCCAGTTCCTCTGACGTGGTACTGTCATCATCTTGGGCGAGGTCAATCTGATTTTTTAATTCTTTGATCAACGCAGCTGAGTTAGTTGGGTTATTCTTCTTCCATGTGCTAATCTTGTTCCGGCATGAGTTAATTTTTTGATGAAAATTCCTAACTGGAATTTCATCAGAAGTTCCCCATCCCAAGATCACTGCTTCTTTGAATCCCGGTTTCCCAATCCACCGTTTGTCAAGTCTGAAGTTCTTCCTTTGCTTTCGGGTAATGGATTGTATCCGCGTAAGAACTGGTCTATGGTCCGACCCCCATAGTTGCAGATATTCGACAATACTATGGTTAAAAAGGGCGTGCCACTCCTCGTTCGCTACAGCTCTGTCTAGCTTACATTTCACTTTCCCATTTTTCCTTTTTCCCACCCAAGAGAAAGAATTTCCTTTGTATGGGAAATCGAGCATACCACAGTTTTCTAACATGATTCGGAAAGGGAGAAAAGAACTTTCTGGACGACGTCTTCCTCCCCTCTTCTCATGGTTACCTGTAAGCTCATTAAAATCTCCTATCATGAACCATGCCCCAGAACGGGTGGTACTGATCCGTGATAAACGTTCCCACACCAAATCTCGATATCTCACATCCGGTTCACCATATACAAAAGTCATAAAAATAGCGTGTCCTTCAAGTTTGGTTTTAATATCGATCATATGTTCGTCTGCATATAGAATACAAACAGAAGGATCATCCATATAAAACAAAGCTAGGCCTCCGCTTCGACCAACTGGGTCAACGGTAAAAACATGATCATAACCAAAAGAAACTTGCACATCTTGCAAGAATTCCCGATTGTTTTTGGTTTCCGAAAGAAATAAAAACTTAGGTAAAAAACAATAGTACAATTCATGTAGATGCTCCTTCGTCAAGGTGGCACCCGCCCCTTGACAGTTCCATGCGATTGTATTCATCTTGGTATTTTTGGTGGTTTAAGACTTCCCACCTTTGATGAATTGGATTGGCCCTTCATGGAAACTTTTGCAGAATTTCGCGGGCCTGAAGAAGAATTCTTGCCCACTAATGTTTCATGACCAGAGGGAGGCCCATTTGTGATTTTTGTTGAAGTTGTTGACTTTGGTGAGGCCCGGCCCACCAGAAGGTTCCTTTTTTTGAGAGACAAGCCCACAGTCTTTGGGCTTGGCGTCCCCTTTTTTTTCGACAATGGAGCCTCATGTTTTGACGGTGGCGTACGAGTCTTGCGGCTACCTTCTCCCTGGTTTGCGGTGGCAGAAAAATTCCCAGCCTGATTGTTATCAGCCACCGGATCTATTTTTCTTATTTAAATCATACAAATTGAACCGTATTTCATATATCTATACATGAGATGAGAACAAAAAAAAATCGAACCAAGAACCAAAATGTTCATGACTCCTTGAGAACCTCAGAGTTTCTAGTCATACGTACATTTTTAGTTTAAGATGAAATTTCATGACTTATGTATTGTTAGCATTTATTTTGATTTGTGACTTCTATATTTTGATTTTAACTCAGACCATATAGTACTGATCATAGGATTAATCTTTTGTAGGACATGTATGCTCTGTTTTTTTTTGGTGAATCAACGTGTGAGTAAAATTAGCAATGGATTTCTGGATTCAGAAATCTCTTGAAGAAAAGAAAGTATATATGTACAGCTTACGACAAGGCAACAAAGGTTTGTCATTGTCATGAATCTGGCAAATCATGACGGCAAGTAGGACATGTGAGATGATTCTTAATCCAAGCATCAATACAAACCGCATGATACATATGTCTGCATACCGGAAACACTCTGCATTCTTCATTAACAACATAACCACTGAGACAAATGGCACATTCTCTCGACCTCTCTTCGTCCTCGTGGTTGTTGCATTGTCCAAAACGCAATTTCGGGAGTAAGGTTTCAATCTCGCTTTGTTTCAACCCTCGTTTTCTTTTTTCTTCTCTCTCCGAATATGGTAAGTGTAGATCGGTCGGGATGATTGCATGGTACGTAACGATTCTAGCACGTCGTTGGCCTCTTTGGACTCCGATCTCGAGATCTAGGTCGAGACATGTTCCTAAGAATGGTCTAAGAATACAGTCGATGATGACGTAGATTACAAGGATGATTGCTGAAGTTGCAATAAGAACAATAAGCAAGATGCAGAGACCAATGAAAACGGCAAGGCCAAGCACCGTGATGAAACTAACCACATCTTCTTCTGAGCTCATCATTTTTTTTTTGTGTTGCAAAGAAAGAGATTTCAGATTTTTTTTGTTCAAGATGATGACTTACGTGTGACAACACAAAGATTTAAACTGATTTATATTTAGTAATGAAACCTGTAATTCAGTTGTTTATGATAAGCCAGGGTCATTGACTTGTGTGCATTTCTAAATTTAGGCTTTGGTTTCAAATTCATATCTTATGTCTTTTATGATTTATATGTATTTATATAATTGCTATCTCAACATTATCCGAAATCGTTAAGGATAATGGCACTAACTGACTTAGATATTATCCATACATATTTTTAAAACGACAATTGTAGAAGTCCTCTTATATAATAGTCTAATTTAGAGGTTTTTTTTTTTTATAACGCTGAGAAATATACCAAGTTTGAGAGTAAACAAATGTGATAAACTAATAATAGGAAAATGAGATGTTAGTAGACACCATCACAAGACAAAAAGCATGTGATAAAAGAAATTTGGTTTATTCACTTTCTTACTTACTGAGCCTCCAAAACGAGTAGGTGATGTAGCCACGATGAAGCATTCCGAGCGATATACGACTGATGGCGCCTATCCCGAGTGACACTGAGAGCAATGGCCGCTGCAGCTTCATTACGTTCCGGAAGAGTATGATCCAAACTCCATGAATCTATTCTTGTCAGAAGCCAGAAGATGTTGTGACGAATGTGGCTGAGGCTAAGGTAAGCAATTGGATTTGTAATGGCGTCATGTAGGCACTCCGAAGAGGTCTCCAAAATAATATTCGATAAGTGTAGGTTGTGCAAATATTCCACTGCCCAGAAGAGAGCCCACATGTCGGCCTCGGTCTTTGTGCGCATGTAAGAATAGACCCAGCGACTATGCATGATTGTGCTTCCTTTTTCATCACGAAGAATCCATGATGCACCACTCGGCTGATTTGGATTTATCCATGAGGATCCCACATTCCATTTTAGGGGCCCATTAGGGGGTTTCTTCCATCGAACCTTTTCTATACCAATACCTTCCACTTGATCCATCGATCCTGTGAATGTATCGTACCATGTGAATTCTTCTTCATATGCCCTCTTAGCAATAAAGGAAGACTCTAACCTTATTCTTAAGAACAAAAGAGTTCCTAGCTTTCCATATTTCCGATAGCAACCATGGAAACACTTTTTTGTATGGATATTCAAAGAGGCGCTCTTCGCAATCTTGAATAAATGGACAAAATTTAAGAATGTGGAATTCCTAGAGAAACCTCCTAAAGGAACTTGGACATTAGCTTGATCCCATATGGCATGTGCTTTAACACATGTGAATAAAACATGACAAATAGTCTCATCCTCATTTCCACAAACTGGGCAGGTTGGATCTATCGAAATACCCCGAATAGTCAAACGTTGCTTAACAGCGAACGCACCCGCTAACCCCCGCCACATAAAATGTTTAATTTTTGGTGGAGCTTTGGTTTTCCACAAATCTTGCCATAATTTTTTTTCCATAGGGGTGAGCGGATGATCTTGAGGGTGATCATAATCCACCAAAGCCTCTAACAACTTATATTCACTTCGAGTCGTATTTGATCCATTTGGTGTGAAACCCCATCTGATAGAGTCTTCACATACCAGTGATGGTTTCAAAAGTAGTATCCTTTGAACATCCTGAGGCGTAAAAGTCTGCTGTAGCAAATTAATGTCCCACTGGTTAGACCCCGGCCTGAGCAAATCAGAAGCTTTAAGCGCTAAATTTATAGAACTATTTTTGCGATACATTGGTGGTCGTGGAATAGTGTCAATAATCCAATTCTCAGCCCAAACATTAGTGTTAGTCCCATTACCAATATGTCGATATAAACCCTTTTTAAGTAATTCTCTTCCATGCATGATGTTCCTCAATGCATAAGACGGACGTGTCACCATTCCGCAGTCTAGAAAATTGCCATTTTTAAAATATTTACCTTTAAGGATTCGAGAAACCAAAGAATCGGGATTATTCCATATTCGCCAAGCTTGTTTCCCAAGCAACGCCTAATTAAAGCGACCAATGTCCTGAAACCCAAGACCTCTTTGATCTTTTGGTTTACATAGCTTTTCCCAAGAAACCCAAGGGATTTTTCTTTTTTTATCCCCATTACTCCACCAAAACTCTATAATCACACTCGTAATTCGTTCACATAGACCTTTTGGTAACCTAAAGACAGACATTGAATATATCAAGGCCACTGCTTTTATTAGAAGTTCCTTGGTCCCTATTGACAAAATTTTAGAGTACCATCCATGTATCTGTCCTTCTAATTTATCCTTGATAAAGTTTAAGAGTGATTTTTTGAACCTTGAAAGCATTCAGGGAGACCAATATATGAAACTTCACCACCTTCTTTTCTATACCCAAAACCTCTTTGATCGTCTGTTTATTAACATTATCTTTTTTTTCCCCAAAAATAATGGAAGATTTCAAAGGGTTAATCATTTGCCTAGATGCATCCCCATAACATTTTAGACCTTTCATAATTTCTTCACTGTCACTCACAGAGATTTCAAAGGGTTAATTGATTCGGTTTTATCGGATTGAACTTAGAGGTGTTTAATCCGATAAAACCGAATCAATTAAAACTGAACGGAACCGTAATGAAAAAAAAATTGTTTTAGATTTGGTAATACCGAATAAACCGAATGGATGTTAATTTTAGGAAACCGTGGTATATGAAAATAGTTTTGTATACAAACCAATCAAACCAAGGAAATCGATTAATTATATTCAAATTTAATAATAACATTAGTAATATACACATGATTATATATTAATATGATATAACTTATAGCACTGGTTTTATTAATTTTTTATTTGTTTTAAGTTAATAGGTTTAGTCATTAACGACTTTATATAAGAGTGGTTTAGCGTTTGGAAAGGAATAACTTTGACATTTAAATAAACCTTAAACGTTCATAGCCAAACGAGCTTTTATAGCATGAAGAAGAGTATTTTGAATTCCTAACAAGGTTTCTAAGCACGGGTAAGAGGATTTTCCTAACCTCTATCGATTTAGACAAAGATTTCTATGTTTATATCGAACGGATTATACACGAATCCATTCGATGTATCTTTGATTATCTAAGCTTTTGCTCTCTACCAGAAAGGTACATAAAAATACAAAGTATACAAACAGAAATGTAGATACAGCGATATAATAATACAAAAGTACAAATTGAAATGTATACAATACATAAAACACACAAAGAACAAATATACATGTCGACAGTTTTAAGTGTTTTGTGTTGTTATCCACATTTTTTTCTTAGAGAATACAAAGAACTATGTGCCGAAAAGAGGATATTTTTCACTGTGGAATCGAACAAGAACGCTATTTTCAAGAATCACCACGGCTTCAGAAGATTTTATGCATATGAGTGTCTTATACTGATTCGTCGAACCACCCCGGGATATGATATAATCCATGAGAGTGTCAAATGTTCCTTGTTGCACCACTCTTATCTCTAAAGCGCCAACTGATCCAGATGTTCTCAAACTTCTATAAACATCACCAAATGATTCCTCTATTACAGAGCAACATTCCACCAATACTTGAACATTTTCATCAAGCTCAACGGCCTCGTTAACATCTTTTGCTTTCAGTTCCAAGTAAAAAACATAGTGACCTGGAGAAGTTGAGATATCAGTGTTGCATGTGAAGTCTATCAACATCACATTTGAAGACTGGTTATGAACAAAGGCCGCATGAGTGATCAACCCCCTCAAAATTTCCTCTTCAGTTGTGGTCTCCTGGTCCACGTTTAAAACCACATTCTTTCTGCGTACAAATCGAAATTGAGGTGTGTTATTGTAAAATCCAGTCACATATACAATATCTCCAATTAAATATCTGTTTAGACCAAAGTATGTAGTGACCACAGGTTCATAGTAGCAGCCTAACTTGACGTTGACAAGATCAACAATGCTTGTCATGTCTCCCCTATGATCAACAGGTAGAAACTCAAAGAAGGACATGTTGGGCACAAATGTGTAGGATAGATCTTGTCCTGTAAGAATACATTCTATGAACTTGGTGTTAGGCCAAAGTCGTGGGATTATACTCTCCCATGAATTGTGGCTGCATTCTTGTTCAATCAGGTCCGCCAGTTTAGGATTAGGTCCTCCAATAATCACTGAAACTGAGCTTCTACAATCAAGATCGGATATTATTACACAACTCCTTCCAGTTGCGTTCAAGACAAGAAAGAGCTTGGACCAAGGCATGAGCAAAAGTAGCAACAGCCCTCACAACCTCGTCTTTCTGGGAAAGACCACATAGAACATGACAGTATAAAATTTGTGAGTTGTCTGGACACATTATGACTTGGTTGGGGCTCGTGGACTTAGAATTTGACGGCCGGTTTTTGAAGTAATCGCTTTTGAAGAAAGTTGAAAATGATGAAGCAACGGGTAAGCCAGAGGGAGTTGTTGATTCTGGTCTAGTGTAATAAAACTCCATCGCCTTTCCTTGCTCAGCACAGTTGTCACTTAAATACCTATTAACAAAAGATTTTAAAATACAGTACAAAATCTTCACTACATCTAATTTTTCTACATATCTTTATTTATAAATTATTCAAATGTGTACACAGAAAAATGATTGGTCAAATTAGAAATAAGCAATAGAGAAAGAATTTAAATCTTGTAAAAAAAAGAATTGAACTACTACTCCATACAAGAAAATGTGTAAACAATGGGAAATAAATAAGTTCTTGTGCCAAATAAATAAAATATGAGATGGTTATATAGAGACATATAGACTCTTATATGTGGTAGACGTAACTAATATCAAATTTCATGTCACCTGGCAATAAAGAAATGTGAATATCTCTAAAAGACTCTTGAATATATATATAGTCTTTACGTATTTCAACTTAAGATCTAAAAATATGCTTGTAACACTCCGACTGCCTATGGCTAATGAGCCATCTACGCTCGTTCTCTCGCTATGTGGGTTCTATCCCGTTCTAACGGCCGGTCCGTTAATTTTCCTAGGTTCTAAAATTATGTTTACTGACCCTACAATCACCACCTGACCTTTTTCCGTGCTTTGGCCTCACTTACACTGTATCGCAAATCACTTTCCGATAGTTCACCCATCATTTGACTACTCTAACTCAAGCACGCTTAACTCTAGAGTTCTCTCTGGATATGCTCCCAAAAAGGTAAGTGCACTTTGGTGACATGTAGCAAATCAATCCTCTTATACCTTTTCATTTATCACAATTCAGGATGTTACAATTCACCTCCTTTCAAAGAACGCAACGTCCTTGTTGCGCCCTACGACAGGTCTCAAGACGCCTCTCAGATCAAAACTGAGATGGCTAACCAGCTCTAATACCATTTGTAACGCCCCGACCGTCCACGGCTAATGCCACCCACGCTCGCTCTCTCCGCCCGTGGGCCCCATTCTGTTCCAACGGCCGGTCTGTTAATTTTCCTAAGCTCTAGAGTCATGTTTATTGACCCTGCAATCACCACCCGACCTTTTCCCGTGATTTGGCCTCACTTACATAGTATCGCAAATCACTTTCCGATAGGTCATCCATCCTTTGACTACTCTAGCTCAAGCACGCTTAACTCTGGAGTTCTCTCTGGATGTGTTCCCGAAAAGGTAAGTGCACTTTGGTGACATAGATAGCGAAATCAATCCTGTTAAACCTTTCCATATATCACAACTCGGGATGTTACAATGCTATTTTGGAAGATTCTTCAAGAATATTATATTAAAAGAGTTTATATATGATTGGTCCTAAAGTATTACGTCTAAACTGTTACTATGTGATAATCTGAGTATATGCGCGGATGAAATTTATATATTAATAATCATTGAATATTAATTTTGATCATTCAACCATCATGTCATAAATTTGACCATTAATAAAAGGTTGATGAGTTGAATAATGTTTGTTGGTATTTGTTATTTTCTTAAACCTATTTAAGTATATTGAGCTTCAATAATATTATTTGAATGTCAAAATTCACCATCTCAAAAAACTGTATTTTTAAAATAATAAATAACTTTTGAAAGCCGCGCTTACACGTTATGAACATTAATTATGTATACAAATCATTTATACATATTATTATTTATTTTATGTTCAGTTACGTATTATGCAATAATAAGTATATTGAATATTTGAGAAGCGAGTAACTATTAAGTATATAGCTAAGCTAGAGTAAACATATAAATAAAACCATCCCTCTTTGTATCTACAATATTGTTTTGTTGGTAAAAAATCAAAATAATTAATTATTTGTGTTATATGTGTATAATTAAAATTAAATGATATTAACAAAATTATATTTATATATATATATATATATTTATTTATTTACTCGGAATATATATTAAAGATATTTCATATTTATGTAATTTTCTGATCATTTGTATTTTGTTATATAACAAAAATTTAAATCATTGATCACAAAAGTTTCAATGTTGACTTTTAACAATTTAGTAATTTACAATTGTTTAAAAAATTTCACAATATAGCATATAAGAAAAAATCTAAATTTTTATTATAATATTAATATGATTGTTTAATTTATTTTATGAATATAAAATTAAAAAATGATGGAGGATAGAAATTTTTTATTAAATCTTTATATTCAAAATCATTAATTGTCATATATTTGTTAACCATATTAGGAAATTTTATAGCTTTTATTTAAGGAAATAATGTGAATATTATTTTATACACTACCAATTAACTGCATAGTTAGTTTAATAAAAAGTATAATTTATAATATATATTGAGAGGGACCAACTTATTTTTCTAAAGATTTTAAGAATCAACATAATGATGACACGTGGCTACCAAAATATGTTAATCCTCCATGATTAATATACTAGGTGATTTTCCCGTGCTCATGCACGGCCATAAATATTTATAAAATAAATGTATTATAATGTTTATTGATATTTACTTTAACTTTTATATTAATTCATAGCTTTTATGTATAATTTATATTAATAATATTATATTATTTTAGTAATATATATTATTAGATATATTATATTTACTTATTTTTATCATTTGGATATATATATTGGATTATATCTATTTCTCTAAATTCAATTATAATTTTTTATTATAAATATTTTAAATTTTTGATTAATTGTTTTATTTACATTTATGCTGGTTATTATCATAGAAATATAAGTATATCTTAGCAAAATTATGTATTTTAAGATTTTTTTTGCTTAGAACGAAAAAATAAAAATTAAAGTGTCTGATTCTAAATTATATACATAAGTAATAATAAATTTTTGGAAACTTATGAACAGATATCAATATTTACAATAATTAAATATTTTATAAATTTTAAATATTTTATGCCTTAGACTGATTAGATGGTAAACTGAAATTTATTTTAAATAATTTTAAAAATAAAGAATTATGATTTGCGTAAGTATTTCGATTATGGTTATATTAAATTCCACAAACATAAAACAGAAAATTAAACATCAAAAGAGTTAATATATCTACCTCGTTAAATTATATAGTGTTATGATATTTTAAAAGAAATGTAGTTATTTGATCAAAAGATGTTTATTATTAAATTTATTTTTAGTTTTTTAATATCTCGTAAAATATGCAGTAAAAATGTGATTGTTTTTGAGAAATTATATTATATAAGTAAAATATAAATTATATTTTTGCTGTAACTTTAAGATCGATATTATAATCAAATAAATATACTAATTATAAGTTTTTTTTGTCAATTAAACATATATCAATTTATGTTACTTAATTATTTTATGTAATCATCTAATAAAATAGATAGATATATACAAAAACTAATTACTTTGAAAATATATATTTTTATTGTTTAAATTATCTTTTTTAAGAAAAAATATTTCTTTTTCTAATATCAAGATTATTTGTATGAACTTTTTTTTATGAAAACACATTATATACAAATATTTTTTTCATCTAAGAAGATATAGATATAAAGTATAATTACTTAAAAAGTATAATTTATGTTATTTAAAAAATATTTAAGTTAAATATTACTATTTTGTGAACTTTCTTTTTTTATGAAACCATATTATCTATATACTTATTTTCTCGTTTTTAAATAGTTTTGAAAGTTTTATAATTATTTCCTTTTTGTTTTGTATTGTTATTTGGAAGATTTTAAAAAAGAAATAATAATATTTAAATATATTTTTAGTTTATTAGGGGTATCATAGTAATCAACCATAGTGAGAGTTAACGTGAACGCGACACCTAAGAAAGTGACTTCTCAAATAATATTATAGAGATAAGTGATTTGAGAAAGTTAATAATTTATTTAAAATTGAATGATATGTTTTTAGGATTGAAATAGGTTGTTTTCCCCAACTCACAACAAGACTTGGTAATAGTTTTGGTCGGTGTCGCATGCGGTGTACCTGTGGTGAAAGCCCTGGTGGTGGTGGCGGCTTTCCGCCGTTAAAGTCAGGGCATATGGTGATGAGGCACACGCGGGTGCATGTTCGTTGACATAGATCGAGAACTTTCAACTCTTCTCACGTTTATTTCGAAACTACAAACTTCTGTATCATCAAAGACATCATCCTATTAAATCTCGTTTGGTAATTGATAAGTGGTTTGATAAGAGTTAAGACAAGGCATACATAGTGAAAAAAAAAAAAAGAAATTGCAAGTGTAACATTCATTACTCAGCAGAATCAGACTCGTTCTCCTCTTCATTTTCTGACACAACATCCTCATCAGAATCATTCTCACTTTCCTCTCCATCTTCTGAGACTTCGGTTCCATCTTCCTCGTCTGTATCAGTAGTAGACTCCTTTGCTTCATCATCATCCTTGAGGTCTTTTTTGTCAAAGAAATCTCTCTGGACAGGAACATCCTTCTGTTGTTGGGAAGACATGATCCCAGCAATGGCTTTCAATGCAGCTGCTGCTTGATTGTTATCAGCAATGGCTTCCTGATCTATACCTGGCACCGTCACTTCTGCTTCTACTTCTCCTTCTGAAGCCTTGTCCTCTACTTTAGGAGGTGGGACAAAGAAAGGTATGCGTCCTCTTTGCCAGTCATGGAGTATCATCTTTGCTCCTGTCATCAAATCAGGCTCTCCACCCTAAACAACGTTATCAAGTACTGTTATTCTTGCTCCACTTTGTTACACAACAACATTCGTATTAAAATTCAGGAAACACACCTTTAATAGTTTGCCAGAAGCTTTGCATAGCTGAAGAAGAAAGTCATGATCATCCTCCCTGTATATAAAGAAAATCACAACTTTTAAAACTTTGTTGCCAGAAAGCAGGCATACAGAAGAAGGAGAGAAAATTATCCATTACCAGTCCTTGATTTTATAGGCTCTCTGCAAGTGCTCTTTCTTGACACGCCTCAGGACTTCTCCAATGTGCTCAGATGCATCCTGCAGGTTTGTAACTCTCACCTATATATCAAAAAGATCGAATCAGTAAGATAATGTATTACTTGCAGTGAACAACACAGCGTGTGACTAAAAGAAGCAATCCATCATGGGTATACATAAGACACTTTCATGTGAAGCAACATAAAATTATATGTTTTGACAAAAGATGAACCAAATTTTCTAAGCTTATATAAATTAAAAAAAAAAAAACATACCACTCCCTTGAGGACGATGTCTGTCTCAGAATCATGGCTCTGGTATACAACTCCAGGACAATCAATCAAGAAAATCCTCTTGGTGAGTGTGATGTACTGCCAAACCTTGGTCTCCCCTGGAATCGGAGCAACCTTGCATACCTGAAACAGAGTAAATGAAAGTGTGAGAACAAGTAATGAACTATACAGATTCTTGATACAGGTAATGAACAAAGAAAGTTCTACATTTTTGGTACGCAGTGTGTTGATAACTGAAGATTTCCCAACATTTGGATACCCGACAAAACCTACAGACACGGCTTGCTTGTCACTCTTTAGCCGAGCAAACTGCCTCAAAACTGAGAGAAGTGACCCCTGAAATCACAAGAGCAAAGATATATCAACAAAATAAAAGACTTCACAGATAATATAAAAAACAGATCAGAGGATCTCAGAGGCAATGTATAAAGGATAAAAATACCTTTCCAAAAGACTTGTTAACGCTGGCATGGAAGGCTAGAGTTGGATACTCCTTTGATAATATCCTCAACCATCCTTTTGTAGCCCAAGCCGGTACAAGATCACACTATAAGCACAAACACGAAAAAGAGATAGATACAAAGTAACTAACATTTTCCAATAGAATTAGTCAACTAAAGCTAGCTGAGTATCCCAAACCTTGTTCAACAACAGAATCATGTGTTTATGCTTGTGATGCTCCTTCAGAGTTTTCTCTAAATGATGACACCTAGTACCTTGTGGATCCCTAGCATCTAAGACCTGTCAAACAGAAAAAAACTGTAAGCCAAAAAGAAAGTAAGAAAGAAAGAAAGATCTCATCTTTATTAGCTCGGTCTTTCATTAACTTAGTCCTTGAATGAAGACATACCTGAACAACCACATCAGAGGAGTCAATCACTTTGTAAAGCTCACCCCAAATACGTTTACTCTGTCCCTTCTCAAACATAGTATGCCTCACAAGGTCTCTAAACCCATCTTCTTCTTCTCCTCCCTCACCAGAAGGACCTCCCCCATTCAGCTCCTCAAACGCATCTCCAAAATCAGACAAAAAAAACCGTTTCAACAAATACATCATTCTCCAGCTATCTCCAACACAGATTCATCATACATTAGATATGAACAACGAATGATCTTATCAATAATAATGACAAGAACATAATAGTTAAGAAATGAATGTTACCTTGAGACTCAGCTGCCTTCTTGACCAAGGCTTCATAATCAGAAGCAACAAGCTTCGGCCTCTTCCTCGTTGTCTTCTTCCCAAAAGTGTTTTGAAACGGCTCCATATCAAGCAAGTGAACCCTCGTTTGCTATTAAAACGAAACACCATACAGAGTCAAAAGATTGAAATATTGATGATCAAATATAAATAAAGTTACAACCTTGATCTTTTGTTATCAGTCAAAAGCAACATAAAGAAACAAAAATCGAAATTTGAAAAATAAGGATGACCTAATCCAAATAAAGTCAAAACCTTTATTTTACCTTCTTGTTATCAGTCAAAAGAGACATAGGCAACTTCCTCTCCTTCAAAATAACATTATAGTTACTCGACATCTTTGTCTTCATCTCTTCTCTAAAGTACTCCAACTCCTTCTGGTTCACAACACGCGTGTTCCCTACACAACCCATTCAAAATCAGACAAGCTTATACTAATTGATTCAGCTAACGAGTCTGAAGCATTACGTACCGAACCATCTCCGATCGGGCTGGATTCTCGTGTCGGGCAGTTCCTTGGACTGATACTCGTTGCTGAGGATTTTACCGCCGGGGGTTCTCTTCGGCCTGGTTTTGTACATCTTGAGACGGCGGACTGTGGCGGAGGTACGGCCTTCGGTGGTTTTCTTCTTCCCATCGGCACGGTTCGCGTCGAGGGAATGTTTTGGTTTTCCCGAGACATTAGCTTTCCTCTCCGGCTTCCCCATCTCTCAAGTTTTTTTTTTTTTGTTTGGAGTGTTTCCTTGACGGTGAAGGATGGGAGAAGATGAAGAAGAGAGTGGCGAGGTGATATTTTGCTAGGGTTTTGTTTTGTTTTGCCGCTTGTTATGGGCTTAGGACATTTTAATGGGTTTAATGAACTAGGCCCATGGGTGGTTTATAACAGAAAAGTCTTTATAAAATTTTTAATTAGACCCATTTGACCAAAAAAAAAAAAAAAAAATTTTAATTAGACCCGTGCGTTTCGGGTAAATGTCAGAGTGATAGTGGATATACATATATTGGATCATTCGAATATCATGTATAGATTTGGTTTCCAATAGAATGTTCAGATGGTTCACAATATATCTGAAAATACTGAACTGGAAAAGATTCAGCGATGTAAAGAGCATTGTAGAAAGGAAGACCGAGTCCGAGCACCACATGCAAACTTGCCAGTCATTGTATTTTTTGTCTTTCAAATATGTCTGATCACAAAATTAGTGAAAATCTTTTATGTGCATGGTAAAGGCCGGCCATTATATCAGTGTAGACATCATTTTCACTAGTTGAGAATAGTTTTTATTGTGAACAGCACTTTCATAATACAAAGGATCTTCATACATTCCATTGTTCAAATCAGAACTTTACATGCTGCATGTAAAGATAGACAGACTCTTTCGGATATTGATGGCCCTCATCATATTAACGGTTCAACCTTCTCTACTACAAAATTACCTTGCTTTGTAAAACATACTAGATTTTGCGGGTGTTTGTTTTCGTTGATAATTAGTTATATAAACATTTTGTTTTCATTTGTAAATTGGTATATATTATAGTAATCACATATTTACGATATGTATAGTAAATGTTTTGCAAACATAATAATATTATATAATACGTGTTTTAATCAAATAGATTGTTTCAAATTTTCTATATTATACATGTTTTTCAAACATGTGTTTGTTTCTTCTTCTATATTTTATTGTTTGTTAGATTAGTATTTCATTTTTATATAAATTAATATAAATAGAGCTTGTTTAAATATTAGTATACTTTAATTTGCAAAGATAATATAAACTTCAAAATTTTTTTTGCTAAAAACTAAACGTATAGCTTCATAAATTAATATTATAAAGAATTTTATTAAAAAGAAATTTTTTAAACATTTTTTTAAAAAAAAATATAATTTTAGAAAATTACATCGAAATAAATTTATCTAATATATATAGCGTGTAAATTTTGTTAGGGTATATAAATATTACATATTACTAATCTGTGATTTTTGTTAATACATTATGGATGTATTTAACTATTATTGAAATATTTTCTTATAAATAATAGAAGATTCCTAAACTTATATCTATTGACATATTTTGCGTGAATAAGTTGGAAAGTGTGGGGAATTTACCAAAACCAAATTGTTAAGTGTATCTTTGTTATTTTAGATATGATTTTTGTAAGATATAATAATAATAAAAATTATTAGAAAGTTAATATAACATAACTCTCTCGTCTATACTGGTTTCATGTATTGATTTTGAACCAAGTAAAATGTGCCGAGTGGTCAGAAATTTATTGAACATTTGATAATTATTTTTGAGTATTTTCTGACTGCTTTTTCTGACATTTCTAACATTTAATACTATCAAAATTTTCTGACTACTTTCTGGCCATAATCCATTTCTAACAGAGCTTTTTCATGATTTTATATGGTCAAAATGGTAAAATTGAGTGTTTATGACTACTCCTAACTAAATTGAAGGTCAGAAATTGAACTATTTCTTGTAGTGCGCAGGCCCTTAGCCATAATTCTCACTCAACCTCTGTAATATATAGGTATCAATATTATTAAAAGGAAAAGAGTCTTAAAAATCTACTTATACAAAGTTGTTTGGATCCTTTCATTTTTTACTCCAATCTATAACAAATAACAAAATATTATAAGTAACTAACAATTAATATTATTGATATTTGGTAATTTCCTCTTTTACCTCCAATATTCTCGCAACCTACTTCTCTTATATTCACCCACTGGAATTTAAAAGTAATAGTTTCAATAATTTAATATACTAACCGGTTCATTAGAATTTTCAACAGATGTGTAAATACTAACCTACGGATCTAGGTCGGATTTCAAACATATAATAGATAAATTTGAAGATTATTTTTTTTCGAATCAAAGTAATAAGCTCAACTAAAATTTATTGAAATGAGTAAAAGCGTGGGTCAATATTTCAAAGTCTAAATAACTTTTATAAAATATACACAAAATGTAATAAGAGAGAGAGTAAATTTAGGCATTCGGGTCTCTGGGTCAGATATGGATTGGTTTCTTTTAAGTATGATCTTTCAGATCCTAAACATTTAGACCAAAGAAGATATTGAACTTTTTTTTGTTTGGATTCGTGTCAGTTTCTTTCGGGTTTGGATGAATAATTGAAATACATGTAAACTACATGTAATTTTTGGATACCTAACCGTCCGGATTGGTTTAGATTATTTATGACCCAAAAAAGATTAGAAGTATCAGAACTCCAAAAATACGTAAACACCAAATTGATCTGAAATCTGACCTGATAAACCAAAAAGTATCCAATATTTCATCTAGATACCCAAAATGTTTTTTATTTTTCTGAAATTTTACCTGAAGCCTAAGCTATAACCGAAAACAAAAATCTGAAACTTAAAAAATTATTTTTAATACGAAAATATATCCCAAATACATCTAATATACACCAACACTATTCAGGTATTGGGTATATGATCGGATCTCAGGTAAGATCCAGACTCGAACAAAAATCCGCATGTCCAAAAAAATACTTAATAGATATTTTTCTTGGATTCAGATCCAAACCAATATCAATGAATCGTTAATCTGTATATATTTTTAGTGAAGTTTTAATAAAAAATAAAACCCACGCTTTTAACCGTGGATCAAAAATATAGTAAATCTTTTAAGTTACAAAAACAAAACAAAGCAAAAGATATAGTTCTTTTAACTATTAGAAAACTTTAAGGAAATATGGAATCTCTTTAAATTCACGTATACAATTACTTTACATAAAGTAGATCAGTATTAAAAAAAAAAAAGTAGATCAGTATTCGTATAAGATATGGTAATGATTACTTTACATAAAGTAGATCAGTATTAATATAACGAAAAGGAGATGGCTTTTCTAGTTGTCATCTAGCACGGGTTGATATACCGTAAAGAATAATAATAATTAAGTATCTACGGAGAAGATTAGGGTTTTGTTGTTTCCAAAAAAAAAGATTAGGGTTTTGTAAACATTCTTCGCAAAACATTCTTGGCAAAAAAAATTAGGGTTTTTTACCGTTTGGTACGTCGTAGTAAGTTAGTAACGCTAATGTGTTTATGAGTTTACTGTTTAGTAAAGGTAAACTCATTGGGAAGTTGTAGACCCAACATTGATGTATTTTAAATTTTGATTCCATAGACTGTATAATAGTTTTTTTCTAATTGCTGTATGATAGATTCTTTATAAACCAAACCATGAGTTAGATCGGGTGGCACAATACGTTCTGGAGATTTCTAAGAGATCCGAATTTGAATCTGATACTAATCCAAATAAACATATCATGTGGTTATTTGGACTTTCACTTTCTCTTTCCGGAAAAAAAAGTCACACACTATCTTTTAAAGAAAGAAAAAACGCATATTAAAAAATTACTGTAACAGTCATGTTTTTATGAATATCTAGTAAGAGCAACGACATTAGTGAACCCCCCTTTGGGGTTCACAAAAAAAAATTATTATTTTTTTGGTGGGACCATGAATAGTGTTGAACCCCGATCAAATGTGCTCTTCCATCAATGAACCCGACGTTGGGGGTTCATAGGAATAAAATAATATTTTTTTTATTTTGAAATATTTTTAATATTTTTTTTTAAAAAAAATGTATTGAATATAATTAGAATGTTTGACCAGAAAAATAATTAAATAATTTTTGAAGAAGTGAAAAACATAGAAAATAAAATTTTTATTGATTTTATGAAAATTTTTATTCAATACATTGATAATTCGTGAAGATACAAAAGATTATTAATTCTGATTACCAAACTTGTGCCAAATATTTTCGACCAAATCAGCTTTCAACCGAGCATGAGTCTGTGAATCTCGAAGTTCATTGCGAACGCCCTGCATATTACCGGCATTCAAAGATGTTGTCGTTTGAACCTCAGCACTTCTGCTTGACTCCCCTTTCTCGAACTCAGATGTATCATAGAGAGTATATGAATGTCGTTCGTCCTCTACTATCATGTTGTGGAGTATGACACAAGTTCTCATAATCCTTCCTATTTTATTAATGTCCCATAGTAGAGCTGGATTTCTAACGATTGCAAACCTTGATTGCAATACTCCGAAAGCCCGTTCGACATCTTTTCTTGTGGATTCTTGACGTTCAGCAAATAGCTGTGCTTTGTCCCCTTGAGGAAGTGGGATGGATTGGATAAACGTTGACCATTTAGGATAAATACCGTCGGTAAGGTAGTACGCCATACGATAGTTGTGGTTATTGACCTTGAAATTAACTTTCGGAGCTCGACCTTGTAAAATGTCATCAAACACTGGTGACCGGTCAAGAACATTAATATCGTTGAGGGTACCTGGTAATNTAAGGTAGTACGCCATACGATAGTTGTGGTTATTGACCTTGAAATTAACTTTCGGAGCTCGACCTTGTAAAATGTCATCAAACACTGGTGACCGGTCAAGAACATTAATATCGTTGAGGGTACCTGGTAATCCGAAGAATGCGTGCCATATCCAAAGATCATGTGATGCCACGGCCTCTAAGACAATTGTCGGCTTACCTGAACCACGTGTGTACTCCCCTCTCCAAGCAGTTGGGCAGTTTTTCCACTCCCAATGCATACAGTCGATGCTTCCTATCATCCCTGGGAACCCGCGAATCTCGCTAACATCGAGTAATCGTTGAAGATCTTCTGCCGTAGGTCTTCTTAGATACTCATCTCCAAACAAATGTATTATTCCTTCGTTGAA